TTTCATTTAAAAGTATTATTAATGTATATTTTACTAATCTTTGGAGGACCATAGTTAATAAACTAGCGAACCAAAATTGACGATTCGACTACCAAAATGTTCAGAAAAAAAAGCTTTACCAGAATCTATTAAAAAATATAGTAGTTACCATTTGAAAAAAAAAGTTGATTTTGCTACCTATTGGTACACCTGCGTGTTTAAAAATTTTGAAATTGTTATAAAAAAATTGCTTGTTAAAAATAAAGAAACACGTCTTTTTTCGTTTTAACGAAATTCCATATCATCGTTCCGTAATCGTCAAAAAACCCCGCGTACAATGACATAAGATACACCCTGTATATTTCGTGGGTATAATAATATTATACCTGAGCACGATAACTTTCGAATATAGGTAGTGTTGGCGGCAAAGGCCGTGAACGATTCGTGACTCGTGTAAACCGTCTAAGCTCTCGGCCGACTAAAGGCGGGTTTCATGACGTGCATACAAATCCTTTGCTGTGATCAGTGGCGTATCCAGGGGGGGGGGTTTGGGGGTTGTAACCCCCCCCGAAAATTGTTAAATTATAACAACGTTATCATTAATAAATCATTTTAAGATAAAATTCCACAAAAATAAATTATAACCCCTCCCGAAAAAAAATTCTGGATACGCTACTAGCTGTGATTGGTTGGTTACGTTAAGTTACCACACGATTAACCACGATACCGTGTTGTTGGACATAGCTGAACATTTTTCGTGTACACGGCAAACGTGTATAGTGGAAACCCACCTTAAGTTAGTATAACCATATTTTTCTATGGTATAACGTTGTCTGATAATTCCAAGTCTCCATTATTTGGTGCACTCCTCGTCAGTCGTCTCGTCGGAATTCAAATATTGTCCAGAGGAAGTTGGCTGCAGTACACATTGAGGAGTATTTATATAGTGTTTGCAAATTATAGTTTGTAGACTTGAGCAGCATTACAATATTAGTGTCGGTAAGTCTTAAACGATATTATATTATTTTCGTCGTCAACCGCTTATACGAGTCGTCCCACTTAATAATATCCTACGTGGCAGCGCAAGTAGCTATTTTTCTGATTTTCCGCAGTGCACTGCACGTTTTGTATTTTTGAATTTGATTACTAATGATGGTGAAGGCAGGGGTGAATGCAAATTTTATTTTCTTATACTATATCTCATAGGTAGTATCTTAAATATTTTTACAAGTTGTATCGTCTTTACAACGTCACGAAAAACGCTTTACAGTATTGTAATTTTTAACACACAATATCTCGAAGTTTCTGTATACCGATTTTTTAAAAATATTTTCTCACATCTACAGTGCGTTTATAATGTATGCCTTTTATGCAACTTTAGGTTAGTGCACTTTTGAGATTGTGAATAAAGTGTGTTATAGGGCCTACAAAAATATCCACTACCCACTAAGTATACATATAGGTGTTGTGGTAAGACAACAACACACCACCTGGTTGTAAAAACGCGCGAGACAATTTTTCTCGGATTATATATTGTATAATAGAATAAGCAACAGTTTTGCAAAACATAAAGAAGAAATTTATTTATTTATTACGTGGATAACGTAAATAAAAACTGTTTGAGAACATAAGGTTTTTTTCATTTATTTATTAAAAGTTATTGGGTAGTGCTATCAAGAAAAAAAAACTCTGCGTCACAGATAAAGTTCTTCCCTATAGCGATGTCAAATTTTGGTAATTCTGATATAAGTGTAGTCTATTATAAGGGAGTAAAGTTGTCCCACGCTGAACAATTTTTCAAAACGTAAAAATATTGTATAATAATTGTTCTAATAATTATATTATCGGAGTATTCCCCCATTCCATTCAATCACCATTTTTGGTAATAGGCTGGCACCGGACTACCGTCGTCCGTCGTGATTGACTATGTCGCAGTGATAAAAATAAAAATGTTCGATAATCTGCATAAGTACGTCAATAAACATTATAATAATTTTAACATTACAAAATGATCTTGAATATTATAGTAATTTATTTCCGGCTATCGGTGACCACTCAATATGACGGAACATACGCCGAGTAATTATTATTGGGTGGGTAAGATATTGTTCAGGAATAATTTCAGAGCGGCCTTATTATTGTTCACATTGTATTTCGTTTTTATGTTTCTATTGAGTTATATAATTATATATTATATATCACGCGATTACCAAATTCTTAGTTGAAGTGGAGCATTTAAAGGGGAGAGGGGCTAAATGTCCCGGACTACACATCTTAGGGGTGGAAAAGTTTTATAGTTTACCAGTTGACCACGAGTCCACGACCCAGAACTGAAATCTTTGATAGGTATTTTGTGTGATATAATTATTTTAAAAATTAAAATTATAAACGGTTATCATACGGGTCTATACCTAAGAGTGGAGCTAGATCACGATAATCACAGAATTTATGAACATCTCTAATTTATATACATATGGCCTTTGGTGGTTATAAGTCTATTTTATCAGCAAATATTGCCAACTACTTTTATTGTAATTTTATCAACCTACTAATGACTAATGAGTAACTTTATAGTTTAAGCTTTTTAAAGAAATTTAGTGATGATAATTCAACAGAAAAAAGGTGGGAAAGTGGGTATCGCTCGGCTGTACAATAGGTTACAAGTGGGTCACTGTAATTGATTGTATTAAAATTGCATTCAATGATATAATATCATAGTATAAAAAAAAACAATTCTGAGCGAAGACGGTCAGTCAGCCTATGATATTACTAAGTACCTAATTAGTATATTTGATGATATTATTTTGGGTTGGGCAGTATCAAAGATATATGTATCAAAGATACAATTGTATCTTGTATCATGATACATTTTATACAAGTGTCATGTATCTTTTTTTGCCAAAAGATATAAGATACTATTGTTGTAAAAATTTGTAAAAATAATGTAAAAATTGGAAATAATTATCCATCTATAAAAATACTATTTATAAAATATAATACAAGTCTGTGTTCATCTGCTCCCGTTGAGCGTTTATTTTCATTTGCTAGTTTTGTGCACTCATCCTGTAGATCTAATCTATCAGACAAAATGTTTGAAAAATTAATTTTCCTTAAAGGCAATCAAGGTTTTATTTATAAAAATAACATTTAATTTAAGCTAACCATAACTATTAAGTCCACAAGACCATAACAAATTTCATTTATTATTCATTTTTGACCATAAGTCCATAACCAATTTTATTTAACCATTACCAATTATTTCCAGTGCATGGTTTTTAATATACCTAGTAATAATAGAAATTAGAATTTGTTCAATATACATGGTTGCCACATGTGACATTCAATTTGTATTAACTTAAAGAAGTTCTTGTTATAACTTATAATCCCTGTTGGAAGGTTATAAAACGAAGTTCAAAACATAAAGTAAACGTGGTTTTTAAATTATAATCCAAAATGTATATTTTATATTTTATGTTGTAGAGATATTAGGTTGATTACATTATAACATAAAAATTTTATGTGATTATTAATAAAATAATATTCAAAACTATATATTATATAAAGTATAGTATACTATATATATTTTTTAGAAAGTTATTCTGAAGTAGAGGATCAGAGAGCCCGAACAGTTTTAATTTATTGAACAATATTTTATGGTTTATCGGATAAACTTTATCCTCTCAAACGCCTTAGATACCTATATCAGTATAGATAATATCGGTCTGTTAGTGGACTTCAAAAGATTGAAGAATTTTTTGTTTAGTGATTGTTAAATTACAGTTTGCTGATCGTTTAAGTCCAAGTCTAGGTCATATTATTAATTTGTCTTTCATTCAAAGCATTGAACAGAAATACAAATAATTGATTAACTAAGCACGAGGCCCTGTACTGCCTCACTTCCTGAACACCCCTTGCAACGGCTTTATGTGTAGGGAATCGTCCAGGTTATACCCATAATTAGCACAAGATATATATAGGTTAGCTTACATTATTATAATTATTCATTACACTGTTATATTAGCAGTACCGGATCTAGGGGGGGGGCGATCCGGGGCCCATGCCCCGGGCGCTTATCATAGAGGGGCGCAAATTTCAAATTTTAAACTCATCATTTTTATTACATTTATCTTTTTTTTGAAGTACACAAGTTTTTCAAATAAATAGTTTTAATTCAATGTAGTCATACTGGTTATGATTAAGAAAAGACATTCGACATATTATATCATATTATACTTTCGATTTTATGATTTTGCTGAAAATAGCCAAAAACACAATCGGGGCAATCTGCAATTGAGATAAACTAATGTTGTATAATTGTATCGGTCAGTCATAGACGAACTAATTGCACAGCGATAAGCCGATAACCAAGCATTGTGTACTCATGTGTGCGTATTTTCTGCTATTTAACAGTGGTATTTATATTTATTATAACAGTGTTTAGCGTTCACTTCACTGTTCACTGGACGGTATCTAATGAATGTTACAGTTTAAGTATAAGTGTTACAGTATATTTTTTTGTGATGGAACCAAAAAAAAAATTATCTGGTTTTAAGTTCCGGCAAAAAGCTCTCGAAAAAAAAAAAGAAAATGAGCGAACTTCGGCGTATTTTCATAATTGGCTGGGTAATACGAGTACTAACACACAATGTAGCACAGGTTAGAAATTATTCATAATTATTATTCTCTATTATAATTAATACTAGATCTATATTGTATTATAATAATTAATGACGTAATTTAGTATTATTATTATTTATTACTATCATCACTATTATTTATATAATCAAAGTGGGAAATTTTTAAATCTAGTAAATTTAGTATCTCATTATAACGAGCCTCTAAGAATTCATCTTGAACGTCATAAAAAAGGAAGTGTTACATATTTTTCACATGAAATTCAAAATGAATTTTTAGAAATTATTGCAAATAAAGTTAGGAATACAATTTTATCACAAATTAAAAGCGCTACATATTATTCATTATTATTCGACTGCACGCCAGATATCTCACACGAAGAGCAAATGTCTCAAGTTATTCGTTATGTGGTTGTAAATGAAAATGGATGTGAAATCGTGGAAAGTTTTCTAGGTTTTTTACAAGTTTTTAAAAAAACTGGTGAGGCAATAACAGAAGATATTTTGAGAAGCTTATCTAATCATAGTATTGATTTATCCTACTGTCGCGGTCAATCATATGACAATGGAGCTAATATGGCCGGGAAATGGAAAGGTGTTCAAGCTAGGATCAGTTCTATAAACTCTTTGGCTAGGTTTATTCCTTGTACGGCCCACAGTCTAAACTTAGTAGGTCTTTATGCCGCTAAATGTTCACCAGAATTAGAAAATTTCTTTGGTATAGTTCAAAAATTGTTCAATTTTTTCTCTAGTTCTACTCAGAGATGGGATATTCTTAAAGAACATCTTAAATTTTCATTGAAAGGTTATAGTACGACCAGATGGTCTGCAAAACAACGCGCTGTTAAATCATTATATTTGCAGTTAGGCCAAGTTATTCATGTTTGTAAGTTACTCAAAAATAGTAATTTATGTGAAGAAGCAAGTGTTGAATTAAATGGTTTGTTGAAAGGGATAGCAAATTTTAAATTTATATGTATGTTAATAATATGGAATAAAATATTAACGGCAATTGATAGAGTTAATGTAATTTTACAAAAACAGAACATTACAATAGATATAGCCACTCAACACTTAAAAGGTCTGATATATTTTATTGAGAAATTTAGGGAAGAAGGTATTGAAGAAGCACTTGATGAATCAAAACAAAAATCAACTGAGCTATCAATAGAACCGGTATTTCCATCGATTCGAGTTAGAAAAAAGAAAAAAATGCCTGGTGAATTAGCGGAGGACGAATCATCAACATTATCCGAAGAAAATAAATTTAGAATTTTAATGAAAAACGTCTGTGATAGAATCTTGAACGGCTTAAAAGAAAGATTTGACTCAATTGATGAAGCTGCAAAAGATTTTTCTTTTTTAGATGGAAAGTTTTTATTTAGTATGCCAACAATTCAATTAAAAAAACATGCTATGGACTTTTGTATCAAATATGAAAAAGATATTGACAAAAATGAATTAATTTTAGAGTTGGATAGTTTTACTCAACATGCAATTCAATTGGATAATAAATTAATAGATGCTCGTTCACATGAAATTTTAAATTTTATTCTTAAAAATAGTCTTCAAGAAGCTTATCCTAACATATTCACAGCTTATCAAATATTTTTGACATTACCCGTTACATCGGCATCTTGTGAACGTAGTTTTAGTAAACTGAAACTAATTAAATCATATCTAAGATCAACTACAAAGCAAACAAGATTAAATGACCTGTCAATTATATCCATTGAGCACCAAGTTGCTAAATCCATAGATTATGAAGATATCATTAAAGAATTCGCGTCAAAAAAATCAAGAAAAATAATTATTAAATAGGTATTTATTAAATATAGGTTTAAATTCTAAATTATTTGTTTTTTTATTGAAAATAAACATTTCCATAATGTATAAATATTAAATAAATGTAAAATATCTTGATTAATTGTATGGATATTTAAAATATAAATCGCCTATAATAATAATCCGTATTTTGACACACTTTAGGACTCATGCATTTTTTTATTGGTGACTTTTAGGGGCGCTAATATTATGTTGTGCCCCGGGTTGTATAATTTGTAGATCCGGTACTGTATATTAGTATGGTTTAGTGTTTACTCAAGCCAAAAATTATTACAATATTATGTGGAATTCAATATCACGATAATGGCTGAAGAAGGAAACACGTCGTCGGTCAACCTACAATCAATCTGGAGGAATCAATCAACGCTTAATTTAACATTTTACTATAATATCATATGGCAAGTATAGGAGATGAAGACAATGATTTTAGGTAAAGTATAGACTAAAAATAAAAATAATACACAAACATTTCGATAATTTAAAATTATGGGGATATATTATATGTTATTTTATACAATAATTTTAATCAGCTTACAGCTAATAGTTTTATATTTTTATTCATTTGTGACAAAATTCATATTTACACTATATCTTCTAATCTATACTACTCGTGTTGTGTATAATTACTAAACCCATAATTTAATATTTATTATTAACTATATCTAACGTATAAAATTATTACTAAACCGTATAACATGCTAATACACAATTAATAATTTACAGTAAGTACCTACTACAATATATATTATGTGTTTATAAATCATTTTTGTTTTCGTTGGCATCAAAACATGAATAACAAAACACAAATTATAATTAATAAATAACTGCTATGATAATTTTAAATACTTCTTAACAAACCTTTTTTAATAAAATATGTTCTTTCTTATTTGAATTTGAGCAACTTATATGTTTTAAGTTTTAATACAAACGTAAGAATATGATAAAGTAATAAAAATAATTATATAAAAACAATGGGTTGCACATGCATACAAAATAATACATCATAAAAGTGACTAGCTATGTAAACATAGTCGTTTGTAGATGATCCCCGACTATGTTTGGTTTGTGTGAATGGTTTTTCTCACAGTTATTCTGATTCCATAGATTACTTTTTAAGTCCATAAGTAGATACTCTCCTAGAATAAAATCGCAATTTATAGTTTTATTATGAAATAATTTTTATTTCGTTAATTTACATAGAGGATAATTTTCCATTATTATTATTAGCCTTTAATAGTTTAATATGTATCTGGTGACTCATTCTTTATAAAGATGAGTATAAGTTTACTCACATATATAAAAGTTTAAATGACTTTCTCTGTTAATAGGTTACCTACCTTGGTAAGCATTTTTAACACTGCAGTCTTAGATAATTGCAATTTATAACTCATTATATTTAAATGAACATCTAAATATTGATTGCCTATTCAATGATCAATTACACTATGATATATGTAATTCATTGATAGAACAGTAAACGAACTTTAATTAAACGAATATAAATATTCGATATCGTACCTAATAATTACGAAAAACAAAGACCTATACACTGGGCCTAGATAATAATAATTATTAATTAATAATTAGAAACAACTAACAGAACCTATATTATTATTATGTACAAGAATTATACAGTGTAATAATAGCATCGATTATGCGTGGGTTTATGCGGTTTCGATATTTTGACAGCCTTACAAAATAAACGATTACGAAATTTGGTTAAAAATAAGTGTTCATGACCCAAACCATAAACCAATAATATGAACGTGGTTTGAAAAATAAAAAACCGAAATGGAACGAGATTAACAAATTCGTTAGTAATCAGTTGTAAACTATGTATTTCGCAGACAGACACCTGCAATTTAAGTAGGTACTTAGGTACAACATTGAGTCTTTCAATGATATGTAGGTACCCTAAAAAAATGACTTGAAAATATAACCCAAAGAAAATAATCACCTCGTTTTAATTTGAGTTAAATTTTGATACACAAACTGTATAAATCACAATCGGTATCACACAGCAAGTTTCTAAAATATTAATTTAGTATTTGAAAAACACCAATACACATAGTAATATAATGTCATTGTGCCATTTTTCCATTGTAGTCTATCACTACCCATACCTAAGTCTATATCTGTCTATTACATTATAGTATAATGATTATACAGATAATTTTTCATTTATTAATTTATTATTGTTATATTCATGTATATTATACTATATTATTCACGTACTGTCGTAATAAAGTCACCTAAACTCCGGTTTAATTTGTTCAATGTTTTTTTTTTATTTCGTGGGAATTAATGACAGAGATAATAATTATACTTACATCGTTGTTTCTGCTGTAGCATACTGAAGAATCGTTGGACGGTTTGCTTCAATCTGGCTTGGTCTTCCGCCGTTGAGTCGTCGTGGTACTTCAACGGCACGATTACGTCACCATGAGACGGCGGCAGCGGCGCGCTTCGTTTTTTTGTTTTCGCGCCTTCGCCATTGTCGAAGTCCGCGGTGACTGAAGAAGTTGACGGGCCCGTCGACCCTGACACACCTCGCTTGGAATTGATCGCCTGACTAGCGCGTTTGTACGACGGCTGAGCCATCCGCTCGTCCACGCCCGAAGCCAAGTCGTGTTGGTCACCGTTGAGACTTTCCTGCGAAAAGGACGCCTGCTGCAGTTGTTGGCCGGAGATCGCGGCCAGCTGTTGGCCCAACTCTTGGCTGATGGCCGACTGCTGGAAGTCGAAGTTCTGCATCCCACCGCTGTAACCGTTACCCGTGGTCTGTTCGGCGCTTCCGCCGTTTGACTGGTAACCGAGGTTCGGCGCCTGGTGACCGAGGTTTGGGACCTGGTAACCGGGGTTCGGAGCCTGGTAAACGGGGTTCTGTACCTGGTAACCTAGGTTCGACGCCTGATAACCAAAGTCCGGTACCTGGTAACCGGGGCTCAAGTCCGGCGAGTACTCGTCGGATAGCACGTCCCCTTGGTATCCGGCTGGAAACTGTTTTTGAAATCCAAAACCTTGCTGGGGCGTTTTGAAGTTCGTGGGATTGAACGCACCACCCAGTTGCTGGGACGGCCGTTGGCCGATCGACTGCTGTGAGTTGGCCGTGTTCTGAGACGCCACCACATTACCGGCTGCCGGTACGTTCTGCACAGGCATTTTGATCGGTTTGAAGATCAACAATCCTGCGTGAACCGAATCTTTGGCGACTGCGAAAAAACACAAGTCAAGTACAAACTATTATAATACATAATATAATATACCGCGTTGAAAATAACACAAAATCCAATTATCGTTTTTACGCCCGACTCGGCCGTGCCAGGTTTTTGATGATCCAAGTCTTCTAATATATATTATATAAATGTATACGAAACCCGAATCGGTGTCTTACGTCTGAGCATATTTATTTTCCGTGTACGTGACTCCGTCGTATACTCACTAATCACGTACAAAACGGCCAAATTGTAGAAAGTATCACTGACTATATAGTGACTACCTACTACAAGATGAAGTGTACCTATACGGTGCCCTCGGTTTGTTTTTAACAAATTTACTTAATAAATAAATAATTTATTAAACATATATGTAATATTTAACTTTGTTGTCGATCGACTACATATGGGTGTGCAAAAAATGTTTTAACCGTGGTGAATTCTAAGTACAAAATATTTTAATTTGAAATATTTGTAATCAAAATTATAAAAAACTTATAAAACCAATTTACAACAAGTAGGTACTATAATACATGACATCGGAATTATTATGGTGTAGTAGGTGAGTATTGAATATGATACATACCGATTTATTTTACTAAATAAATATTTTAAACAAGATTTTGAAATTAAAAACCTAACTATACAAATAAATAATAATGTATTCAATTTTTATGTTTTTAGTACCTACTCAACGAATCCTGTTTAACTACATCAGCCTATATTAACTTGTCATATATATATTTTTTAATTAATATCATCACAATTTGATAACCGGCCGACGAGTGGGCAATATTTAAATTTATCATCACGAGCCTATTATATATCAAGACTTTCGAGTTTCGGGTTTCGGTTGTAGGATGTGAATACGGATTATATAACCTATTTAGGTTATTTAACATATTTTATGTTTATAGTTAAACTTATATTTCATACTGGTTAATTCGGATTTTCAAAAATAAATTTCATGTAGGTTTATGTTGGAATTTTAAAGCCAATTCAATTATCATACATCTTTTCCTGGTGGGTTTAATAAAGTATGCTTACTTAATACGTAAGCTGTATTTATCAATGAATTAATACTTATTTTTACATAAAAAAAAAACATTAATCACAATCAAACTAGCAGTTGATAGAACTACATCAACTGCAGGTAAACAAAAAACCGTGTCCCCGTTCTATTTTTTCTATCGATTCTAATTAAATTGGAGAAGTATACTTATAAATAAATGTGTTACTTGATTATTTAAAAAAAAAATTGGTTCTGCGGTAATGGTTTAGTCGAATAAATTATTCCGGTTCTACTATTTTAGTGGTTAATACTAATATGAGTGTTTCTATTTTATCAATAGACACTATACTATATAGTTAAAACGGATTACGGGTCTTAGTTTTATTACCTACGTGTCAATTGTGGTGCGAAGCCCTGCCATATATTATTCTGAGAATTATTGAAAAAGACACTTAAGTATTTAAGTATATATCTACCAACACGTGTTATTTTATACTTACATGCATTTTGCACTTGTTTGGCAGTCGATTCCTGTGCATTCTGCTCTACTGCTCTTTTTGCCGTAAAACCATTACCGCCGTATCCGCCGTAACCCACGCCACCGTCGTATCCAGTTTGTGGCACCCCAAACCCTGTCTGGTAACTAGGAGCCGCGACTTGGTACGAGTTGCTAGAGTAGGCGTTGCTCTGGTACGTGTTGCTGGGGTACGCGTTGCTCTGGTACGAGTTGCCCTGGTACATGTTGCTAGGGAACGCTTGTCCTTGGTATCCAAACGCAGTAGCAGCTCCGTAGCCTGTAAATCGAAAGTGTTTAAGTTGAAATGCTGTACAGCGTAAAGAAGGGGAAAAAACTGTCAGTGGAAAATATTTACTCGTTGGCTGGTGGATCGGCGTGGCAGGCAGATGGTTGAATAGGCCCACGGAGGAATGTACGTCTAGCTGTGGTTCATGATGGACGTCGAACGCGTGGGTAGCAATGGTTTTGCCAAAGTTCGAAATCGCTTCACCTTTGGTCTGCATCAGCTTACCTTTGGCCACGACCGCGTGCCCTTTAGCCTTGATCAATTGTCCCTTGAGAGCGATAACTCCGCCCGTTATCGCTTTAGCAGCTTGAAACACCGACGACATAATCGCTTTTTTAACACCCCATAAGTTGAACGATTTTGTGTGATAAGACTAAAATACAATATATGTTCGTGTAGGTTTTGTAAATAATACATAAACGTTTATCGTTAATGAATCATATCAGTTGACGTAAGACACGCACATCTGATTTGATCCTTATAAAGTTTACAAGTATGACATACCAATGGTTCTTCGAAATGTTCTGGAAAATTGTCTAAATGACCAATGGATTTACCCGATGACGAGCCGGTTATTGAGCTGAGTAATCCGAATTTTTTCTTCAATATTGATGAAAATATGTTTCCAGACCTCTTGGTTCTCGAGTCGTCTCTATCGGTTTTTGTTTCGTCAATTTCTACGTTATCGAGAGGGTCCAGTGACGTACCTCTCGTTACATAACCGTTGAGGGCTAAAATGACAATTGTTAACGCGAAGATCTGCAAAATAAAAATAAGGTAGGTATTAAGAACAACGCAGTTGATTGACGAAGTGTGTGTATCAAATCGCAGAACTAATTTCATAAAATCGTAAGAACAACAAACAACTCATACTTAGAGTTACGAAACATTTTTAATGTCTTAAAGCATGATTAGTAAGTTATGTGATGATAAGTTTAAATGTTATTATTATATTTATTATTATTCTGTATGGTAGGAGAAAGTTTGGATTCGGTTAATATTGTTATAACAGAACCCGTTTATCCTGATATAGGTAGTTCCGGTCATCTTGAAATGAAAGTAATATGTTACCTCATTTAGACACTGCTTACATAGGTATAATATGATAATGATATTATGGGATATTTATTATAACATTCATCGCACGCATACTCCATTAACATATTACATTTATTTCAGCTTAATAATTTATTATTACAAGTACCTACAGTTGTAAATGTAATGTTATTTTTTATGCAGAGTGACTGTAGCTACTTATAAAATAGTAAATACGAGTAGGTACATTATATTATATTGTTAATTGTCATTTTATACAGCACTTCCACTATACCATGGTATTTCGGGGCGATTAATGATTGTACTGCGACTAATTGCGTATTCAAATAGATACAACTAAAATTGATTGCATGAATTGATTTTGCAACATCGTAATATTATTATTAAAACCTATTCCGATTTCGTTTTCTTTACTAATTGAACATTAATCTAAGTTTTTATTTTTGACCTGCTACTCTAAGATCCTTGATTATATTATAGATATGGTTTAAATCTTAAGTATTTTGTAAGCAATCGATTAAAAAATTACTTAAATAATGTTTATGTTACAAATAACATTTAAAAATAAACAGTACCAACAATTTGCACTTGAATTAAAACGGATACTTTTGTATGAAAATGTATAGTGAGCTATATGAATATACATTCATATTCATATTCATCGAATGTATATTATGTGAATGTATTTGTGTTATTTTAACACATACGAACATTCGTTCATAAAATACTCATCAAAATTGAATTAAGTAACACCAGTAAGCTAGTAACAGATTAAATCAAGCCTCACCTATTGTCTTAAGACAGTTTTATTCATAATTTAAAAGTATAGGTATTGTCCATAGTAAAATATAAATAATTAATTTGTACGTATTCTGTTAAAATAATTAATTTATTGCTTTAATATTTTAAAATAAAAAAATATTTATAAAATAGTTGTACAACATTTATATTTTTTACAAGTATGTTTTTTTTTTCGTGTTTGGGTGACAGGTCATTTTACTGGTAATTAAATGTATAAACATCATTAGTCATTACATATATACTAAATAATATCAATTAGTCAAAAAGTCAAAAAGTCAACAGGTAAAATACAAGTATATAAAAATACATTATGATAATATACAATATTATAATTGTAAATAATTAAAAAGTACTTATTTATTAATATTTAAATCTTACGGGTCAAGTACAACTTTAAATGAAAATGTATTTTTTGCTTTACGTTCTATCAAAATTATTATCATAGCTTAACATTGTTTTGGGATAGAAAGATTTTTCTAAGGAAAACTATCTTTATTTAAAAGGAAAATACCACATAAAATTATAAATTATGATACACTTTTCTTTATTATTTCCAAAATAAATAAAAAGTAATATTAATAAATAATACCTAAATAAGATTTTTTTATTAAAGAGAGTTTGGACATATGGAAGTGTAGAAGTGAAAGGTATAAATTACATTTTACCTTTAAATAATTCAAATAGTTCTTATCGTAAAGTTTACTATTTCCGTAGCCTTGAAGTAAAAATATACAAGCCTAATATAAGTATATTTAGATCTAGTTGTATATTAATATTTGATTTTTGTCATATACGTAGTTTTTTAGATTTCCCTAGAAGTAAGATTCCTAGTAGTAATATATAAGTCAGTGTTTATTTTTATTCCGTGATCGGAACCGGTTCCAAGTAAAGCTGCTTTGATATTTTAGTTGCGTAACGCAGATACTATATAGTTGACCCTTACCGACCCAGACCTTGCTTTCTTCGTTTCGCTGTAAATATTTATTATTTTGTCATATACAGTGAAATTGTATTAACGAAAGTAAATATGACATAAATTGTTTTGAATTTAATTAATTTATATTAAAAAAATATTGCCATACATAGTAAGTGGTAAGTTGAATCAGCCATTCATAAAAAAAAAACCCATAAACATTTAGTCAATGTTTCCGAAATATATCTACTTTAGATGTGTAAGCCGATTATTTATGAATAAAATAAAATCGAATCAACCGTGAATACAGTTATTTCTATTACAATATAGAATGCATATTTAACGAATTTATACCCTAGTTTTCAGTTTTCGGTTTGAGCTTTTTCTGTGATTTAAATATCGTCCGTAATAGTTGATGGCACGGGTGTAAAAAGCTGTAAGCCTACATGGACAGTTACATAATGGGTGATTATGTTATGTGTTTCTCTACAGAGAAAGATGTTCACGAATACTACCAAAAATAATAAGGAGTTTCGAGTAATCGAGACATGTCAGTAAAAGAGTAATAATAACACAATATTCAATACTTCCTTCCTGCAGTTGACGTCACGAATTGAAGTGGGAAACGCTTTCATTTCAGATTCCGGAATGGGTGATACATAGGATTGCAACATAAGTAGGCTCCTATATTATTATGAGGCACAGCGTATAATAAAATAAATTATTTTCTAAATAGAAATAAATTCATTAGTTTTAAATTTCGTTATTTAAACTATTATATTATCGTGTTATATAAACATTAAACACGTTATTTATTACTATACGAAGCCTATACGACTTTTGCCACAGTTTATATTTTGCTAACACATCTTTAATACGTATTAGGTATTACTCCACAACCTAATTTATAATGCAATAAAATAATATGCACAATACGATCACCAACCCCACCCTTTGTTTTTTGTTGGTTTTGCACTGAACTCGATCATTGAATTATTCCAAATGTTTACTTGTACTATAAAACTTATTTAATGTGTTATAATATTATATACTATTTTGACATACTATTTATTTAAATATGTCTTCGGCTAACAGGGAAGTACAACAAAATATTAATTAGTTATGGTATGTTAAAAAAATCCATACACCGTTACCTATGTAATTTTACGTCATGTTATAAAAAAATCAACTATACTACCATCATCATCATCATAATAATATAAGGAAGGATGCTATGCACCGAATAGTATGAATTTACAGAACTATGTAATAAATTATAAAACTGAAATACATGGTTGAAAAGTTATATTTAAACTATTTTATTTTACAGTCATTAATTTTGTTGTTGTACCTATCGCTTTACACTATCTTTGTAGTAATACATTAATATACATAATTTAGAATATCTTGATTTCGATAATTTTCTCATAAAATAGGTGTTTAAATTGCTGAAAAAGATATAATTTTTATATAAATTATAATATTCATATTTTCATTAGTTTTTTTTATAAAATTGTATTTACATTAGTTTAATTTAAACATTTAAAGTAAAAAATTAATTGATTTACATTGGAAAATGTTCTGATTGTTTCATAAAGATTTTCTGGAATGTAGACTTCGTTTCTAGCCTCTGTGAAATTCGGACAGAGGATGACAAAGTGTTTAACTGTAATTTGTACGTTCTATGTTAGGCATAATGGAGTGAACGTCTTTGCAATCAAATATCCATGCGAGGTCTTCGTGTGACTACTTCTGAGCCTATTTAGTGTACCTAATTTCTTCCTTACGACTTAAACAAATGTTGTTTGACCAGAGTGGACGAATTTTTCATTTCTCGTAATTTGTGTTTGTGGATATTAGGTATTGTTGTAAATGTAGTAGATTATTATTTTTATTTATAAAATAAGGTCTTTTACTTATATTGTTCATAACAATATATTAATATCGTGATATTTTTTTTTTTATTTAATAAAACCCCCGGCAGCAAAGGCCATTGGGATTTACAAAATATAATAAAATGTACAGTAAAAAATTATAAATCTTGTGCAATTATTAGTTTTAAAATGTATTTATTATTTTGGTGAGAAAGTTATGTAGTCGACTATTGATTTAGTTGAGTCAGGGGAATTTCTAATATAATTCTAACATTATTAATGATGTTTATATTATAAACTATAAAGTACGTACAATTATCTATAACTATCTAAAAGAGAATATTTCTTAAAATAAATTAAAGTAATACACTTGTCTACTTCTTTTTAATTATTTAATATATAATATAAATGAGAGTGTATCCTTTACAAAAATTAAATACTAATACAATTAATAACAGTGATATAACAATTTTTATTTTTCAAATATTTTTTTGTGAAATTAATAACTTCTTTTTGGTTTCTAGGTTTTCTGCTTTAACAGTAAATATTATTTAAAATTACATAATGTATTTAATTTTAATATTGTCTTGGGATTAATATATCAACTATTAATTGAACAAATTGTACAAATGAAGACTGTCATGATATATAATCATATAGTCCATATAGACCCTATATTAGAATATATGAGTGTGAATGTTTTTAAATAAATTCAAGTCATTCCTATTTCCTAATAAGTCGAACAGTAGGTACTATCTAATATATTTACATATTTTTGTTTGGAGAATATTATGTCATCTAGATTTCAAAAATTAAAATATTTTATCCAATTAAATCTAGATAGGGAATTGAGTTTTATTAGTTGAATATCCTGGTTTTATGTAATTTTTCTATTTTTCTCAACACAACGTAATTTATTTGTTATATGTTCAGATGTTCAGTGATTATAATGTTCGAATTTAATGTTTATATCTGTATACGATATGAGCGAATAATATAATTAATTCACAAAACAAATTATGTATTTAAAAAAACCATAAAAATCTTGTGCTACGTCATTGTTTATTTACTCGACCGTAAAGCTCCTTAAATTATAAGCTGATGTGTATGTTGGG